CCCGAATAAAGCCTGTAGTCCTAGTTTTAGGCCTCCGTCTGATCTTTCAGGTATTACATCCCAGGGTTTGGAATGAGGCAACTGGCTTCCAAAAAAGCAGATTTCAGAAGCAGAATTAAGCATGTTAATTACAGTTTCGGGTCGCGGGGTCACTGAACTGACAGAAATACATTATCTAGAGCCCTTAGGTAACCTGGGTTAAACTTAGGCATGTTATCTAAATTACAGTTTTGGGTTTCCGGATCACTGAGTTGATAGAAACACATTATGTAGAGTCCTCGGGTCTCCCGACCACTGAGTTGTCAGGACAATTTAGAGTAATTGTGCTGTCCTGGTCTCGGGACCACTGAGTCAGCTGGAACACACCACCTGTGGCCACTAAAACAATTTAGGGTAATTGTGCTGTCCTGTTTCCTGGTACAGTACAATGTGCTAAGACCAGTATGATAACAATCAATGGGATAGTCATTCAATCGATAAGGCATTCAATCGAATGGGATGATTTATACAATTCAGAAAATCAAAATAACCTGTCCATTGTTAAACAAAGCAAACAGGTACCATACTTCAGAACTACAGTTTCTACCTGATGGTTGCTACCATACTTCAACCTCAGAGCACAAGGCCCATCCTAAAGCAGCCCACACGAAAGAACTGGGGGAAGGAAGCAACTATTTCACATTCAAGAAGGGCCACAGAATCCATCCCAGAGAGAGAACTCTGTACGTGTATATGCATTTGTGGGTGTGCACGTGTGTGTGTGTGTGCACGCATGTGCGCAATTTACAAATTAATGAGAAACTTTTGTGGAGGTGAGACACACATGACATAAAATGTCTAATGCTAGCTTTGGGTGTGTAACCTTCGGAGCTGCTTATCACTACACTTCCCCCATCACTTTCTGTACCGCAGGCCTACTATGTTCCTTCCCCATACCTTCCTTGTCTGTGTAGGAATCTGATGTGGGGTTTTGAATATTAATGCCCTAATGCACCAGGAAACCTCCCACAGGCCTAAGGAGGTCTTTCATGGCCCTGTAGGATTGCTGATGTTGCGTCTCTTTTCATGACTTTGTTGGCCATTTGTCCATCATCTGTGGAGAAATGGCAAGTCA